GTCCGTCCTTACTTCCCATTTCTCTAAGGTCACACTGACCGAATCCTACCTCCTTCAAGATTTCTGGAACAAATACATGCACCCACCCAACCACATACCTTGCAAAGCCTTAACAGCCTATTCTTGTGAATATATACTGACAACTAGAATGCAGTGGGTAAGGAGATGATTTTTTTCTTTCTTAACAGGAAAGATACAAGGGCACACAAGAGTAACATAACTAAATCACAGAGAAAAGGGACTTCTAGGACTGCGATGCAGGAAAGATTCTCCATTGAATAAGAAAACACCATCAACAAAAACTTCACCTTTAGCAATGCTATTGATTGATTGATGCCTGCCCTTCCAGCCCCAGCTGATCCAAGTTTCTGCCAGCAAAGCTACCACATCACTACTGGGTCAACAGTATCGGGTGTATTGAGGAGACCACAGACCCCAAAGCCAGCAAGCTTGTCTTTGGAAGCAAGCTGTATTTAACACAAAAGCCCAAAGTATGTTTTGGAAAAGACGGCATCTAGGGAACCCATACAGAAGCCTGTGTAAGATAAGGCTCTGAACCTCAGCCAGCAAATGTGATACATTGCAACTGAACCGTTCCAGTGGGTTTTGATGAGTTTACTCTGAGTACCAAGACAAGGTAATTTTAAACATGTAAAATCTAAAAGGCTCAACTCCTTATAAGCACAGAATGGGGACAGCACAGACTTTCTAGATATTATGCCTACCAACAATTATTCCTGGATGTTTTATATTCCACAGCCACTGGCAGTACTGTCATCCCTTATGCCTCTCTCCTGTGCCACTTAAGATTCCACTTCCCTCCAATGTCCCTTTAACAGTCTTTCGTACTGTTTATGTTAGAGAACTACAGTATTTACCTGAAATATTAAAACCGGCTTGCTGCTCTGCCCTACTGCAGGGAATAAGGTTCCAGGGATTGTATACACCTCTATTAAACAAGTGTATCTATTGACACTACTGATACAAAACAAAGAAACATATTTCAAATAGTATTAGGCTTTAAAGGTGAACAATGTTCTGAACTTTCAACCAACTTTAGCATTTTATGAAATAAGGTATTTTGAATCTGGAGAAGGTATTCTGCTAATTTTAATCAAATCCAAAGGTCTTTTTAGCTCTTGAAGGGAACAAAATCAAACATCTATTTTGCAGTGCACTTTGACCCACGGACCTTTTGAAAGTATCTGAGGTCAAGGTAAGGCTCTGTTCTGCCCTGAACCTTACAAAGCACACCACCTTGTCATGGCTGCCTTTACAGGTACCACTATCCTCCCCAAAACCTCCTCATGACAGAATGAGTGAAATAGCAATGAAGAGCCTATCTGTATGGCCTGCCCAAAGCCTTAATGAACAAAGTCACTTCTACTGCTCAGTAGCATACACCAGGATAATGTTCCCCATCATAAGGAAAGAATTGCAAATATGTAATTACTGGCTTATCCCTGCTGCATACTACATACCTCCTGCCTACCTGCCTTCCAGAGATGTAGACAGAGCCTAAGCAGAAGTGAAGTAAGTAGTTCTCCAGTACCTTAAAGAAATGGGATGGGTGTTTCCCACTAAGGGTATTCTATAACCCAGTATTTTACCAGGGTTACTATCGCTACTATACCACATTTACATTTAAACATATTCCGTTTGGAGCTGAGAAAAACATATTTCCTTTGGAAAAAAGCATCAAATGCAACCAGACTATTTATAAAATATTTGTGTGAAGGCAAGAGAGACTATAAATCAAGTACAGGGAAGTACAGATCTGCATTCCAGATGAAGGATAAGAGAATAGAAAGCATGTCACTTGCAAAGAGGAAAGACAATTGAGAGTCAACAAAATAAAGAGAGAAGGACATTCAGAAATAAGAGACCATTCTCCTAAACAATATTATAGTAATTCTTCCCCTCAATACCATTACCCCAGCCCTACAAGACCAGTACAAAAACTGGGAAGGGTGGTACATTCCAGTTATAGGTACTTCCCACTCAAGACAACAGCCCAAGACTGGGGGAATAATCATACCCTCTCTGCCCTTCCCTCCACCTGGATTTCCAAACCATTTTACCTCAAGACCAGGACAATATGAAGAAACTCCACATTTATTTGCCTGTGACTAGGACACAACAAAGACATGTTCACTCAGCACTTTTCAGCATGTGTACAACACCTGCATTACAGTTTGTAAAGTTTATATTGTCTGCTATGCTTTTCATTCAACTAGCTTAACATTTTCAGCACTTTCTCTAATTAAGAAAGTATTATCAATGCAGAAAAGTCACTGAAGACAATTCAGTTTAAAACAAGTCCTATACATACAAAATAAATTGCACAAATAATAAATATTCCATTTGTTTGGTCTTGGCTTAAAAAAAAGAAACAAGTGATCCCTAATCCTGTGATCTGATGATTTGCTGCAGCTGGCAGATACAGCCTCTTTGTATGTTCACAGTGTTTTGCTACAGCACTCTCTACGATCTAGTCTTAGAGTTAAAATAAAGCAAGGACTTATGGACAAGGTGTTGTCCAGCTGGTTTGAGCTTTGTCTTTAGATCTTGCAGAGAATTATTGTGCTGTTATTCTGCAGTTACACTGTGCAGGCCAGGAGTTAAACAGTGTCATTCTTCTACACTAGTGTCCTACAATAAACTAGGGAATACTAGGAAAACATCTGGGGGGAAAAAAAAAAAATCTTCAGAGGTTGCATAGTTCATCCCCTTCTCCTGAGATTTAAAAGACCTTAGCTCTACCCTCTCCCATCAGATTGTCTTTGAAAATAAACTAAACGTCCCCGTCCACCAATTTGTACAGTGATCTTCAGGCTGCAGAGGTCCAAAAATTAATCCTAAGATGTCTCAAAAGTATCAGAAAAATGAGTTTGTTATCAACAGACTGGAATTCATTATGCAGCTATTCATACCTCCACTGGTATATTTTTTTGGGAGCTGTAAATCAAAAGAGATTAGCATACCAGCACTCTCCAGCATATCTCTACAATCTGTTTTCGTTATTCTTATGGCTTGAAAGCCTGTCCCCGCACCTAATGCCTAACCTAAATATATTCTGCTGCAATTTCAACCCTTAACTACTTGTTGTTATTCATGATGGATATGGCAAGCTGACTGACCTCTCTTTGCAGATACCTTTTAAGACATCTTTTCTCTGGACCAGTACTTCAATATTCCCTGACTGAAAGGCAACCTTAGCAGGCGGCGGGTTTTGTTTTTTTTTTTTCTTTTGGGAGGTCAGGGGGGAAGTCCCATAGACCACCACCCTGTATCCCAGCACTGTTTAGCAGCAGAAAAAGGATGTAATAACATATTCTGAGATCAAATATAGTAATGTTTTTAAAAAAAAACACACACGCACTCCCCCTCCAATTTTACTGTTGAAGCTACAAGCTTCAGTTCAAAGCACTGATGATGAAAAAACTGATGTGACCCACCTACCAAGCACAACAGCTTGCAGGCAGCGACAGGATGTCAGAGCTGGCTCCCAGTTATACCTGCAGGTAACTTTTGTAAGCTGCTTTATAGATCACCTGCTGATGTCTGATGGAACACAAGTTGCATAAAACCATTCTAGAGCTAAACAATCAATTTTTCCCCCTCCAGTCCTCACTCAGGGGTTCTCTCTTTTACAGACTTTGTTATCTTTTTTACAGATCTTGTTACCCAGCCATAACTTTCCCAAAGTATGATAGTATCACAAACTGAACAAGATACTTTTAGCTGAAGACCTAACACTCCTCAGCAGAATGGAAAAACTGCTTCATTACCTTATTTACAATGCTCTTTTATATGTTCCAGTATGACAAGTGAATTTTCGTAACAGTGATGCTGCTGACTCACGACAATTTAGGAACCACTACAACCCCTAGATACTCTCCCCCACAGAACTGCTGCCTAGCCAGCAGCTGCTTGTCTGCAGAAGGTAATACTCCTAAACACAGTAATTTGAACCCATCTACACCAAAATGGCTGAAATCAATGCTATTGATTTCAGACCATTTCTTGAATTTGTCAAGATCATATCATCTGTGTGTTCAGCAAGAATATTATTTCAACATAGAAAAGTGAAAACACCAAACAGTATGCGACCCAGGACAGACTCCCTGATGTGAACACTCTTCCCTTGAACATATCCAAGTCCTGTCTTTTTCTAGGTGTTGTGAAGCGCCCCTCAACACTTTTCAGTATTCTGGAACTTTTCCCACCCCCCTACAGGCTCTTAGTTCCCTAAATACTGTAGGATACATTCCATAAGGCCCAGCCAACCTGAAGACATTAAAGTCATCATTAACCTGTTTCTCTACTTTAGTTAAAGTTCATAGATGAAATTCAGTTTTCTCAAACTAACAGTCAAGATCGTAACACATTCAACACTTTCAGGGTGAGAGAGTTCCCTTGCTGAGATTTTTAAGATTAGCATCAAAGGTCTTTTCAGACCACCTCACATCAATCCTGATTAATCCCTTGATGATGGATGATGCATTGGAACACAATGGCAAAACAGTCCTTTCTGCTGAAAGGCTGGAGACCTGTTGTAATCTTTACCATACAAATTCACCAGCAACTTTGTGAATACCAATAATTTCTGTGCCCAGAATAATACCATATACATCCATGGCAGACTCAGTCCTTTATTTACAAGTTAATTGTTCATCACAAACTGAAGATGACAAAATTCCAAGAGAGTGACAATCATTGCCACATGCTCCGTATGTTGCAACTACGCTATGAGGGTCACACAAATATGCAGGAAAGCAGTCTCTGCAACACTGAACCTCCATCCCCACTGCCAGTCATTCTTGGCCATACCACTATCCACCCCAACACTTACTATCTATCTGAACCTAAAAAAGACACTGAAAATAAAACTGCTCCAAGGGAAATTAATTTAAAATTCTTCATTTCTTCCTGTATTGGAAAAAGGGGATTCCTAAAACCAAGGACATGCACTTAGACAACATTATATACACACATACCTTTGCTTATTAAGAGCCACCACCATCACACCGTGAAGCTGTGATGCTCCTTCCAGGGTGGAGGATAAGGCTATGAAAACACTGAACTGGAAGTAATCACAAGATTCCAGGGGAAACAAAAAAAAAAAAAAAAAAGAAAAAAGAAAAAAAAATACATTGACATTTTTGCTAGAATGACTGTAAATTCACCAGGAGCTACTGAAGTTCTAGAACTCTCTAGTGTACAACAGTCCCTGAGGCACAAGGACATACACTGCAAAATATTTATTTCTGAGGATCACCTATTGCAGAAAACTTCTGTTATGTTTGGATGCACTGGTTCAAATGATCTTTGTTAAGCCAGACCTTGGAAGTGCAACTATTTCAGATTAGTCATTTTATGGAACTGTATACACCAACACTTTGCAAAGTCTTTTTGCTGTTTAATTACAAAAAGGTCTAAGAAGCATAAAGTATTAAAATTCTTCTTCTGACACTTTTGAAGGCCAGCTAGAGAAGGCAGGAACTGAAATAGTTAAGCACGTTTTAATCAAGAAATTCCAGTTTGGAGTGATACAGCCTGATCACTAATATGCATGATTAATTTAACCAATATGCTTCCCTTCCCACTTACTGTCATGCTAATGGCCTCGTCTAACCTAGAATTTTTAGGTCTGCACAGTGTTTGTGCATACATGTATGGGGCGGTAGATAGTTAACCACTATCAATCTCTACCTAAATCCACTCCCCAAAATGTAAATTTATCTTCTGACCATACAGTAACTTACTAAAGTTTGGCACATTTTCAAAGGAACATATTAACTTACAGAACACAAGTTAAACAACATCCTGGCATTCATGAAGTATTCTAAGCAGGACCATGTTTCTGCCAACTTCACTGCTTTTCATCAAATCTGACAAGTAAAGACAACATGCACTCCAATTACTGAAATGAAAGCCACATACGATTTAGTTGGTATCCTGGTCACTACGTAAGTGACAGTAAAATGTCTACTTACATTGCTGTGTTAGCAGAACAGAATCGAAACCAGTCCTGCCTCTACAAATAAATTAACGTAAAACTTAAAAATCCCAAACAATACATATATATATTTTTCTGGTATACAGACTACCTTGCCAACTGCAAAATTCAGAAACTATGACCTTTCCCTATATAAGTTATAGCGACAGTCATCCCATGGTTGTGTTTTTACAAAGCCGTAAGAAAAAGCTGTATCCATGCAAGAGCAGCCAGCACTTTACTGGAGAGGTGCTTTATGTTTTAGCTCTGCTGAACACAGCCAGCCCTTTTCCACTCTGTTCCTACAGACAAACGAATAAAGCATGCCCTGAAGTACACTTCACAACTAAGTCAATTCAGCAGCCACATAACTAACTTCAAACATCTTGTAACACCGAAATTAAATTAAAAAAAAGCAACTTTAACTCTTGAGTGAATAGTTTTTGTTCACTTAGTAATGACAAGAACTACATTATCTGACACCCCACACTCCTGAAGAAATTCACAGATCCAACCACAGTATTTTTCTGTATTAAAAAAAAAAGTATCCCTCTTGAAATATTTTTTTTTATGTTTCATGAAAACGCTAGTGAAGTTTTTTTTTGTAGTAACTTAATTTCCTAATTTAAAACAGAAATTTCAAGAGGCAGTAACACCACGTACAAAGCAGTCACATCTGCGAGACAAGGTGACCATACCCTGCAAAATGTTCTCCAAGTAAAGTATTTTTCCTAACAATTCAGAAAGTGCGCACTTCCACTTGATTTGTTATATATCACATCTGCATTCTGCTCCTCTTATTTCTGAGACATCCACAGAAATACAGGACTTTTTTTTTTTTTAAATGCCATCTGTTCCCTGCATATTTTCGCTTTAAGTCCTAGTATGATATCTGCAATGGAAACTTCTGTGTCATGTAGGATTAAGACTACAAACCAGATGAATATAAAATGCAGAGGCTGCACTTCCCTATAAATAGCTGTAAAAAAAGGAAAAAAAAAAAAGAAAAAAAGAGGGAACTATCACCTGAAGCTTTTTTTTTAAATGCCATCTGTTCCCTGCATATTTTCGCTTTAAGTCCTAGTATGATATCTGCAATGGAAACTTCTGTGTCATGTAGGATTAAGACTACAAACCAGATGAATATAAAATGCAGAGGCTGCACTTCCCTATAAATAGCTGTAAAAAAAGGAAAAAAAAAAAAGAAAAAAAGAGGGAACTATCACCTGAAGCTTTTCTATTCTAAATACAAAACTTCAAGTTCTTAAGGTACTTTTCTCTAGAAACGATCAGAAAGAATGCGAGAGGAAAAACTGCTCTTCTTAAACCTGGTGATTTTATTTCTTCCTACCACTGCTCTACACCTGTTTCCTTCCTGAGTCAGAGACTGGAAGTTTGAAATACTGGTCTCCAAATGGATGAGCACAGGGAACCTTTCACTGAAATACCAGCCATATTCATTCATGAAGTAACATTTGCATAAGCTTTTTTCATAACCACCTAATATTTTTATAGAAGCAATGTCAACTCTACAGTAAACTCAGCTTTGATGGCTCTTCAATTATCTCAGCTGTTTTCTCCTCTCCATACCCCCCCTTCGCTGTTTCCATACTTTGCTCAGTCACTTGCAACGTTTCAGAGTACTAACACTTGTGTCACTCAGTCCTTGGGGGCAGGAAAGGAACGCTGACTTACCTGGTCATGTTAATATAAAAAGATTTTTAAGCAATGCTCTTAAACGATTCTACCATTACTTACAAGGATTTAAATAGCGACTGCTCCTCTAAAGCTGTTTAAAAACTCATAACTTGTGCAGACACCCACTAACCGCTCTAAAATCATTCCAAAACGGCTCATTACTAAACTGACTTCAATCCAAAGCCTTAAATGCATCTTTGAAATGCTAGGTGTGAACACAGCTGTTCTGCCCAAGTCCAGCTACAGCCGTTCGAGTTAAACCGTGCAAGACCTTAGGCCAACAGGACATAAAACACACCGGACACACAGAAGTAACTTTCACGACGGCAAAAGCCACCCCACGCTCACGCCGGGCGCTGTTTTTGTGTGAACAGATAACGACTGGCACCTGACAAGTTTCCCAGCCTCCGTTTGCCCTCGCCCCCGCACAGGTCGGCCCAGAGAGGCTGGCAGCGGGCTGGGGAAGCTCGGGCTCGGCTGCCCGCAGCACACGTGTCACTGCTCGGCGCCGACCGCCCCCTCCCGCCGGGGGCTGCCGGAAAGAGCGGCCGTAAATCGAACAA